TGAAGCGTGGAAACGAAACACCGTTTTGTCATTGATACAGTATACCGCTGATGGGAAACATGGCAACAACGTGCTGATTTTCAGCGATTCAGTGGCTTACTTAACTGTCTCCACGTGTGGAGCAAAGAGGTCACAGCCAGAGTCGACCAAACCAAAGACAATACTCTCCCATATCTCTCCTTTGATGGACTTGTCAAGTGCATCAGTCCGCATTGGCAGTGTCCGGCAGTCCCGACGGCATGCAGCCGCCTGTACGTTTGGCAATGTCGATGGTGTCGACTACGGAAGGCTTCCGAAACAGTGCTGTGCCCTAGACAAACTCTTGACGCCAAATGCCAAGAAACCAAAGAAAAAAGGGAAAGAAAAGGAAAGCTTGAGTCTGATGCTCCGAGCGCCACCGAGATTGAGCGTCTGGCTACGGGATGCGGGAACTCCGTGGTCAGGTCATAGAACATTACGCTGAGTCGATAGCTGCCAAAGAGTTCCCACAGAAGAAACGCGAGAACAATTAACCATCACATGACGCTGAAGCTCTCTGCTCAAGAAGAGTCGTGACATGAGGATAAGATGATTACGACATGGCGATCATGACACAAGGATGTACTCACGGGTCATCGTTGCCGGGCCGCACTTGTTCATGTGCATAGCCGCTATCAATGAGGCTTGTTGCGGTTCGGCTCCAAACCATCCGCCGTGCGTGTTGAACCTGCAAAGCGGGGTCTTGGGTCGTATGCCAAGCTACACCGCAGAGCAGAGAGCACCTGCTGTGGGGGGTCGTATGAAACAGTGGGAGGGTTGGAAAAAGGAATTGACCGAAATAAATAATTCGCCGATCAACTTTGCATTATGCTTTCGCTCGCAGTGGGATCAACTCACATTCAAACGCACCTCCGACCTGAACACCGGTCTGATATGATTTAGATGCCAAGGTCGCTGTCAGAGCTAAGAGTAGTTGCATCGCGCAAACGCATCTGATACAAACGTGCTCGGGCTGAAGCTTTTTCTTCTTTCATCTATTTTGGTTGGTGTGCGTATGAGCTAGCCTATCTCGGAATCTTGCGCCGCACCTTGAACAATCGTGTGTCACCATGCAAACAAGGTCGAGAAGGTCAATGTCATCAAACCAAATTCATTCATTACCCAACAACCGATGGATCTACGCACTCGCCCGGTTCAACTTGACAAAGTTGGTTCAAATAATCGTGTCAAAGGTGTTTTACATCAGAGCGTAAGCTTGTTGACAGTGTGACAGATATAAAAGCTCGTTCAGCGTTGTGACCTTTCAGTCAATGATGCTCATTATGTTTTTACACCATGTCAAGTTTGACAGACGTCCAAGTTTAGGTGGCTGCATTCTCCAGAAAGGGCTATTCGCCGAAGACCAAGTCAGCTCAGATTGGATCTCCCTCATCTCCGCTCGCTTTGGTCTGTCGAATTGGTGCAACGGCTCTTTTTGAGGTCACCAACATTAGCTAAGTCGTATCGCCTAGGATTATCACGGGGCAATTGGTCGTAGCAAACGAGGAGGGTAAGAAAAATAATAACAAAAAGTTTAGAACCTTGAGCTTCATTAAGGTGCTGCAAAGCAAGTCTGCAGTGAGCCCCGATCAGTGTCTTTCCAAGTACAGTCCCACCCAAGCAAGGAAAGCTGCTGCTGCTGCTGTTGTTGTTGCTACACTTGCCATACGTGCAAGAGAAGAGCATGTTGAGGAAGATTAATAAATAAATAAAACGAGCGGGTCGGTAGAGTAGACCTTGACGATTCTCACGGCTGGAAGTGACAAAAGAAGAAAAAGCGCGGATACCACCGTCGTCGTCGTTGTCGTTGCGCTTGCATATGTCACCGGTCAGATAAAATTTAGTGGTCAGTCCGGCCGTCGCCATGCCAGGTGGCTCGTCCAGCCATGCGCAGTCTTGAGTTCAACTCACTTTGCCGCCCACAATGAGGGGCTCCCAGAGCGTGGGAATTTTGTTGCAGCAGAATCACCAAGCTTAGACTTGCAGCACCAGCAGCTTTGTCTACACAGAGATTTCCGGCCGTCTTTCATCTTAGATACTAAAAGTATCTGCGCACGCAATCTCAGGCACGTTTCCTGTTGCCGTGTTATCAGTGGACAGCACCCACTCCAGTCGCATTGACACCTGTCGTTACACGTCGAGCGCATTATCGACGATCCCTCTGCATTTGTGCTCCCCTCTTGGTCGGTCATTATCTTGTTGCCCAGGTCTTGGTTATTTACGTTTAGTCTTGTAAGCCAAAGGGATCTTCTCCTTTAGGGCGCGACAAACAGAAGACATTGTTCCCACTTTGGATGCATCTTGAGCCAAGCATATCTATCTACTCGAGTGACCGATTGCTTTCCTCTGGAACTTTTCTGGGGAAGCCGACTGGGGAAGCGCGCTGCAGAGGCTTGCTTCCGTTTATGAGCTGAAAAACGCCATGTTGAGCCTCAGCCTTTTCCGGCGTCTAATGGACACAAGGACAGGAGCCCAGCCGCATGGCGTAACCATGGTACTGAGCATGAACCGCACTCTGTGACACAATTCGGCTAGTCACACTTTCTTTGCTCAGCTCAGCCCAGAAAACTCAGCTCAGCGGCACACAGCAGCTCAGCGGAAATGTCAGAAGCGGATGCGTGGACACTGAGGATAGCTTCTTTGAACTTATAACCACACCCGGCCCATGTTTGCTTCTGCCCTCCTCGCTGCATTCCCCTCCACTCCCACTCCGTTCCTGACTGACTGCCAACTCCTTCACAACATCACATTCCTTGGCTACGCCTGCTCTGTGACTGTTGATGCGATACCAACTTACGATCACCCTGTTCTTTCTAAGTCCCGACAACTCATCCAGACACCTTCTCGCTGCCCTCTCGCTCCACCATGTACTTGTCTCAACCGCGCGATCTGATCTCTTCCATGTCGACAGGATGCTCTCGAAGTACCACTCTCTTGCCTCATCGAGACAATCTTGCCATGCTACCCAATGTCAAAGATGATCCGAGCTCGCTCCGTCGACAGGCTACCAAGGTCTCTGCATCCAGTCGATCTCTATCGACTGATCGCGACTATGCTCGAATGCATGAAGCTTCTCCGTCAACCTCTTTTCCCAGGTCCCTGCAACCTGATTCAGGCCACCGCATGTCTTTTGACTACAGCAGCAAGACCGATTCTCTCTCTGTAGTCGTGTCGAGCTCCGAGAATCGTTCCATGTCGCGATGGTTCCGATCGCAGCATTTTCAAAACGTCTGGCAGAATCTCGATCCAGGCAATTCCGAAACGCGGCCACCGCATCCCTACACCGAACTCATCAAACTCTGCATTCTCAAGCAACGCGAGGGTAAGCTTACACTCAATCAGCTCTATCGCGATCTCGAAGAAAAGTTTCCCTTCTTTGCTCAATCTGCAAAGGGCAAAGGTTGGAAGGTAAGCGAATCCCCGTCAACAATGCATGCCACAAAACAAAAGAAACCGTTTTGCTCAACTTTGAAAGTCTCTACAACCACAGAACACGCTTCGACACAATCTCTCCACTCAGCCTTATTTCATAAAGCTGGATCGTGAGCACGGTCAGCTGGGCAAAGGCCACTACTGGGCCTATTGCCCGGATCTCGAGAAACCCACTTCGCTCGCTCAGAGCTCTGTCGTCCAGCTCTCGAATCTGTGGCCGCCCTCTATCAACGCTGTATCGGTGCCGCCTCGAGAAGACTCGGCACGCAACTTTTGCAGCGCAACTGAATTCCAGCATGTACCATCACCAGACACTTTCAGAACCAGCACCTCACCTACAGCTTTGCCAAGGTTTGAACATTCCGATCTGGCTCAGGCAAATTTTCGCCAATTGCCCCGCCTCTACACCAACTCCAAGCACCAGGTCCCGCAAGATGAAGCAACGCGAATCGTCGGATCTCTTGTTCCAATGCGTCGCCTCTCTAGCCCCGTCCGCAATTTCCGACCTCTCTCACACCACGACGATCCATTCTCGTCCCATTCTCACCCGCAACGACTCCGCTCCGCCACTATCTCCACCATCTCGCGACCCTCGGTGGAAAGCTCTCTGTCCCCGTCTTTCAACATTGACCGACGCAGATCTTCTTCCTTTTGGCCGTCAGCTAGCTCGTCTTCACCAATGTCGTCATTGTCCGACGCCGACGAACTCGTTTGCCGGCGACCAGCTCTGCCGGATCTGCCACGCACCAATTTGACTCAAGCACGCAAGAGTTTGGGAGATTATTATCTCTCCAACCCTATCTTGAGGCGCAAATCTCCACCCACGACTGTTCCGCGTCCTCGCGCGTCGCCCTACTAGCCACGCTCTAAGTCAAATCCTTGAGAAAGAAAAAAAAAGGGATCATCCACCTAGCAAGCATATACAGTCAAGAAATTATATCCTTTGCAAAGAGACATGGCGCACCAATGTTTTGCGGAAAGAATCTGAGAGACATGAGACACCGCGACTGCGATTGCATTTGGTATGATATTCTGATGGAAGAAGATTCAATCGAAATGTCAGTACTGAGCCAACAACCCTGCGGATAAAACATATATATATATATTTATATATCAGAGGCCGTAGATCATACTGTTTTGCAAGAGCAGCACGGTGCTCTGGTATTCCCCACCATGAGCGCCACAAACACGCAAGAGCCAGTTTAAGCACCGCAACACTGGCTCCTACCTCCTAACTTGTGACTCCTTCTGACCTATTTCATTCCCTGAAAACCCCTCTCCAACCGCGTCCCGTCACACCCAGGAGGGTGCAGCAAGGCACATTTCTTTGAGGAAGACAATGTGAGCTTTACCAATGTTATAAGATTGGGGACCCAGGTAGAACAACAGGGTCCTGGGCTGGAGATTAGGGGATTCCCCTACAACTGCCCCAATTGCCCAGCAACATTGGCACATCTGCAGCTATCCAGAGGGGGCACGTCGCCATAGCAGAAGATCGGCGCACCGCGGCGTTCAGGGGTGCCAAAAATGGCAAAAAAAATTTGGGAATGGGGTCACTGCGGGATTCGAACTCGCGACCACCTCTATAATTCTAGAGCCTCTTTTGACTAGGTGTGAAACACACCGGGTATTGCCCGAAAGAGGTATCCTACCACTGGACGAAGCAACCTCATTGTCTGCCCATTCCGCGTCTCGCATGTGTACATATTCTGCCTTTTCCAGCTTCTCAGACGTGTGATAACCGGGTCCGAGCTAGACGCGATTTCGGAAGGCCGAGCACCCTGATTGCTTCGCGATCTTCCATGTCGAATAGCTTTCCATCCTTGTCTGGTTCATCCACCTCTCTGCACCATCCGCATCGACTGAGGTCTCGCCAGACGTTGCAACGCATCAAAATGGCCAAGGTATCACAGCCAGAGCTCAAGCGCTTTCTCGACAAGCGTATCGCTGTCAACATCCAGGGCGGCCGCAAGATCCAGGGCACACTCCGAGGTTTCGACATGTTTCTCAACCTTGTCGTAGACGATGCTATCGAGCAGGTTCATCCCGAAGCTGGCAACCTCAATGTTTGGCAAGACGGTGACCGTTGTGGGACAGTCGTAGTACGAGGCAACAGCGTCACTTCGCTAGAGGCGCTGGAGAATGTCAAGACACGATAGTGCAATCGATCTGTGCCTCCGCCTTCCATAGCTATTCGCTCCTCGTCAATGCGCACCTGATAGCGCAAATCGACACTCACGTCACACATCGCGCACACATAAAACCCAACCGCGCCTTTCATAATGCTCCGCAACACAGCTGTCCACCAGTTGCTCCCCATAAGCCCAAGGTCGGACACTCATTCGTTCGAAACAACTCATCTTTCGAGCCCCCATTCAACTATAATGAAGCTGGGCACTGAAAAAAGACTTGTGTCTAGGTCTTCACTCCCTCGCCCTTATACCACCATGCCTACACTCTGACTGGGCAGTTCCTAGCTGTTATCGAGCTCCCCCGCAGCATTGTGGGATCGTTTGTCTTTCTCTCTCTCACTGCACGCCCCTTTCAGTGCAACAGTATCCGTCCGCCGTTCCAAAAGATTCACTCAATCTCTGTATACTAGCTGCAATATACTCTCGACTGCAAGCCCCGACTGATTGTAATGAGTGTGATGTCTTGAGCTTAACCGCTAATTGCAAAGATGGAAGCCTCGGCTTTGGCTCTCTTAGCTCCACACGACGGTGCGAGCATGCGATTTTCCGAGCTTCTGCCACATTTTGAGCTTTTCTCAAATTTTAACGCAGTTGCTGACCATCATCTCTCCGTTCCATCACAAACACGACCTTTCATCACCATCATTGCTCAGCCGCAGCTCCGTCGACCAGCGGGAGCACTGTGATTCAACGGAATCGGTTTCACTCAGCGGTATCATTGTCACTCAGTCGAAGCATTGGCGCTCCTCATCGTTCTTGCCACTGAATATCTAAAAGCAGCATCTCTGCAAGGTCTCTTTCGGAGCAGCACAGAGGACGGAGCTGTCTCATTCTTCGACACTGACAGGCTGCAATGGTCAAAGACTTTGTCCATCAGTCGAGCTACGACCACTCTTGGTCCTCTTGCACAAGAGCCTACTTCCTTCGATATCCAAACCCCAATGCGTCGCACGTCTTATCGGTAGACGTGCTCGATCGCAGAATCGAGTATCGTCCCGTCCGCGGCCCATCTTCATCAGCCAGCTCATCTTCAGTCACACTGGATGACCTCGATCACCCATCAACGCAGCGCGACACCATCCCTGTGCTCTGTACCACGCGATTGATCCTCAAACGCGGAAACCTGCCCAAGTGGGCTCCGTCCGGCCTCATCAAGAATGCCGAAAGCTGGGTGATGGAGGAGAGCGAGGTCGAGCTCGATCTCTTTCCTCCTCGAGTCAAGTCGACCGAGGCGCCGGTGGAAACAACACCTACAATGTCAACAGCAGCCACAAGCCTGAAAGGGCGAACAAAGAATGGCAGAGCGATGCGCAGCTGGACGCGCAACCTCGACCACACCACCGTCCTGGCTGTCACCGAAGGTCTCGTCTTCAAGGAACGTTTCGGCTTCATGTCACCTGACGACGAAGCTGGTCACCAAAAGGGCCGCAGTGGCGCATCCGAGCATACGATCTGGCGCTCATACTGCAAGACCCTGACAACAGCACAGATCGAATCTCAAATCAACTTTGGCATGCTCAGAAGGCGCATCGAGAAGTTCGGTTTGGCTCGATTCGTGGCGCACAAAGACACTTCACAACAGGGCATCATGTGGACACGCTCACAGCTCGGCGACGGTGATGCTGAACAGGCAAGCTCACCACAGCCAGAGCAGGGTGTGCTTCAACGCTCTTCCATGCCTCAAAAGAGAATCAAATTGCTCGAGTCGCTTCGACCTCCCTTCCTGGACGGATATCCGCTTGGGCCCTGGCAAAAGATCAAAATGTGGTGGTATTCGGGTCACTACTCGCAAGTCAAAGAGCTGCGCGATGGCTACCTCATCGAACGGGATGAGGATGAAGACGAAGCTTCGAGTAGCGAGCGTCGCTCTTCGCGCAAAGCATTAGAAGGAAGCAGCAGCACGCATGGAGAAGTTGATGCGCATGATGCGGAAAGCATGCAGCCGCAAATGCGATTCCGTGGAGCTGAGCAGGAAGGGCCCTGGGCCGAGCTCAGCGGACGCAAGGGTAAAGGTGCGGTTTACAGTGACCAAGACCGTAACGTCGAAGAAGGTGTCCTCAACCGAGTTCGCGCACAGTTCGGCTTACCCTTGCTGCAGCCTCCGTCCTCTCACGAACCAAGACAGGGAATCTTTGCTAGGGCAATGGAAAGGGCGAGGATCAAAGCCAAATCGTTACTTGGATTTGACGACGACGAGATGCATGCCAAGCAGCAGACGCAGGGCAGGTTGGAACGCATTGATCGTAACCGCACAGTGTAAAGGCGACACACAAGTCGTGTACATGTACACGATCACCACATCCAACAACACTTTTCATTGAATTTTCACTGTTTGCGACCTGCCAATTCCTTCACTGTTCCTCAATTGCAGTTTCTGGGTGAAGCTCGAGAAGAAAACGACAAGATTGCAGGGTTGCTTCTCGATCTAGCGACATGAAAGACACCCAACTTGAGTTGCTTGGATCTTAGAAATTCGCTACTATACACAACATAGACGGCATACACAAGTCAGGGCGAATAAGAGTCTAAACAAGGACAACAAGAAAAGAGCGACATCGATATCCTGCTTGCGCTGCCGCCTTGGTTCGGCATCGATCTCACAAGCTTGGGACACAAAATCCTCAATGTCATAAACCGCAACGGAGCACTCTCCATTACGATGATTTCCGCGCGATCATTTGTTTAGCAAGAGTATCATTTTGCTGAGATGCGGATATACTGAGAATCCAAGTGAGCTAATCTTGCTTTGCTGTTGCTAGAAGAATCATCACGGTTCAGTCAAGGTTGACAGGTTTTCTCTGTCGAGAGCTTCTTCTCCTTGAACCAGTCACCTCGAATCCGTCTATGTCGATTGGTTCGGCTACATCCTCGATCTGCTCGTCTACGACGATCTTTGTGTTATTTCCCTTCTTTGCGCTCCTTGGAGGAGTTTTTGGCGGCGGCAAGATATCGTGAGGCTCGGAAATGCCACGACGCGGACGGAGCATTCGCCCGCTTGGCGTGGTTGGAGTCACTGGAAGATCGAGCTTGTTTGATTCATCCTGAGTGGGAGGCGATTTTGATTTCTTCCCCTTGCCTTTGCCAATTGTTTTGAGCTCTGGAGTTGTCGACTCGCTGTGGACGTTGGGATTGGCCTGTTTGGCAGTGCGAGCACGCTTTGCGGGAGGCGAAGGGTCAAGCAAATCGAGAACGCGCTGCTCTTCGTCCGAGTCGCCGCTCGCGCTCTTCTTCCCACGCTTCTGCTCAGTGAGCTCGACAGCAGCAGCGGCAGCAGCGGCTGCAGCAGCTGCCTGCTTTGCTTTCTTTTTGTTGATCCTACGAGTGGCTGACTTGGATGGCTTGAGCGCGACAGCAGGCTTGTTGCGCTTCGTGGGTGAAGGAGAAGGCGGAGGAGAGACAGATGGTGTACGCGGCATCGACTCTTGAGAATTATTGTCTAGAGTTAGCTCGCCCAACTTTCTCTTGTTGCCACTCAAAGTTGGAGTCTGCATTGCGGGCACAGGCGACACTTCTGCCTGCTGCGGTTGCTGCTGCTGCTGCTGCTGCTGCTGCTGCTGAGCAGCTGGACGAGCTATAAAGTCGGTCTCGATGACCGAGCGTGTAGCGAAAGGCGCAACCACCTCTTGTCGTGGCTTGACACGCTCTGCCTGAGGTGTGGCGGTCGCAGCACGAAGAGCACGCTCGAATGCCTCACTGGTGGTCCTAGTTGGCTGTGCCGGTCGCTTGGCAGTGGAAAGATTGCCTTCGTACGAAGTGTTGCGCTTAAAGCCAAAGTCAGGACGTCGCATGAGGCCCATCGCATTTGGAAGCAGCTGTCCGTTGAGACCGACCGTCTTCTTGCCAGCCGAGCCAGTAGCATTAGTATTCACAATCGACGAACCAGGTGTCAATAGCATGGCGAATGGTGAAGAGGAGAGCGAGGCGGGACGCTTCTCCGACCTCGAACCAGGGCTTCGGTACAGAGACAGTCTTGCCGCTGCGGCGTCCGAGGTCAACCGAGATTCGGCATTGCGCTGAGCAGCGCTTCCCTGAGTACGCTTCCACTCGTTCAAGAAAGATCTGCTGAACTTTTCCAGATGCTCAACGCACTCTGCTTGAGTAGAGCGAACACCGAAGAATCGCCTTGCGTTGGTGTAGAGCAGCGAGAGGTCGTCTTCAAAGTCGGTCACAACTGCGTTTGCCGCCATACGTCCCTCGAGGTGCTGGCTGCCGTATCTGCGCAAAGCAAGACTGTCGCGGATGGTGAAAAGGTCGACGGGCCTCGAGCTGCGGGATGAGAATTGCTCGAATTCGACGCTCATCGGTCGCTGGAAAGCCGAGTTAGCCTTGTGCGAGAGGAGTTGGGAGACGAGGTTGGAGAGGAAGCTATAGATGCGAGTAAGCTCGCGATCGTTTGCCTGGCTGTCAACCTGCTTGGTGACGGCGGCCGAAGTGGTTGCGATGGTCTTTGACGGCGATATCGGTTCCTCGGAGACAA